GGGGAAGGAGGTGGAGGTGGGGTGGGGGAAGAGGGAGGCGGAGGGGGTGGGGTGGGGGAAGCGGAGGGGTGGGGGTGATGAAGGAGGTGTAGGTGTGGGGTGGAGGTGGGATGGTGAAGGAGGTGGAGGTGGAGGTGAAAGGGGTAAGGGTATGGGTGGAAGTGGAAGTGATATGAGGAGGAGGAGAGGAGAAGAAGAGGCAGAGACAAAAGAAAGAAAATGAGGAAAGAAGGAAAAAGGGGGAAGAGGTGATGATGATGAGGATGTAGGTAGGGAGAGACGGTGAGAAAAAGACAGGAAGAAGAGAGGAGATAAAATAAGGGAGGAAGAGAGAGGGAGAAAAAAAAACTATCATCAATCGACGAATCACAAGTAAAACGAAGCTAAATCGAAAGAACTATCGATCTGCTTAGTAAATTTATCTAATATTTTTTTTCCTAAAGTTATGCATTGCGATAGAACAGTGAAGGTAAACAACTTACTGATCTTCTCCCATAAGAGACCATGCTGATGGCAGTCACTGAGAACAGCCAGGCCGGATGTGCTGCCATCTGGAGCTAGGCTGGCGCACTCCGCCTCGGCTTCCGCTCTGAGATAATGAATAAATGAATGAATCTACGGATGTGAATAGATGAATAAGTAGGTAAACAGATGAATCAAATAGATAATGCAGTGAAATTCATATAGATAAAGGCAAAAACGTTCGCCGTCTTTAGATCCGGCTCAATGAAGAGCGACAGAAAACGCATCATCACGCCTTTAAATGGTATTCGAGCGTGTTAGATCCTCCAGAGAACAATAGAGCACAGTAAAGGTATGCCTGAAATTCTGCCGATCTCTTTCTATTGTCTATTCGTATGTTAAAACCACAGCAAAGACGACTTTTCAGCTATAGTAATTTGACAAGAGAGTTGCGTTTCAGGAGAGAGAGAGAGAGAGAGAGAGAGGAGAAGAGAGAGAGAGAGAAGAGAGAGAGAGAGAGAGAGAGAGAGAGAGAGAGAGAGAGAGAGAGAGAGAGAGAGAGAGATAGAGAGAGAGAGAGAGAGAAAAGAGAGAGAGAGAGAGAGAAAAAGAGAGAGAGAGAAAGAGAGAGAGAGAGAGAAGAGAGAGAGAGAGAGGGGAAGAGAGAGAGAAGAGAGAGAGAGAGAAATCCTAGCATTCTTTATAAAGTAAGTTATAAATAACTGAAATAGTCGACAGCCAATTATGATTTCCTAAGCGCTGCATGGTGATCTGTTCGCGTCTAAATGAATGATAAATAATCATGAATTGCATACCTTAAGCAATCGGAAGGCAGCATAACAATAAAGGCATTTTCAATTGTGTTTTCTTAATTAAGTATTTTGGATCAGATAGTTAACTCCGCTCCAAATTTCATTAATATTCCAAGTTGATAAAGAATACTCTATCATTATTCAATTATTCCTTAATTTATTTATTTATCAATCATTAATTCATTACCACCATCATTATTATTTATCATTATTATGATAACTGTCATTGCTATTGTTATTATCATTGCTGTTATATTATTGTTATTATAATTATTGCTATTATTATTATTGTTATTATTATTAATAGTAGTAGTAGTAGTAGTAGTATTTTAGTATCATTACTATTATCATTGTTATTAACATAATCATCAACACCATCATTATCCTTACTTTTCTTATTACTATCTTCATCATTATCATCATCATTGTTATCGTAATTATGACAATAATATTAATTATTATTATTATTATTATTATTATTACCATTAATGTTGTTGTTATAATAATTATTAATATTAATACTGTCATCATTATCATTACTCTTATCATGTTATCATTATTATCATTTTTCGCATATTAACATTATTATAATCACCATCATTTTCATTATAATAATTATTATTATCATTATATTATCACCATCATCATCATCATCACCACCCTTATTATCATCACCATCATTAATACCATTAATATTGTTCATAGTATTATTATCATTTTAATTATTATAGTATCATTATTATTACCAGCATTGATAATATTATCCTTAATCTTATCATAATCAGTATTATCATTATAATATTACCACCATCATCATCGCTGCTATCATGATTATCACAATCACTTTGATAACAGACACACAACAGGGAATTCACACTCATACGACCGGTTTGTCAGAAATGTGCGATTCCCGACCCAAAGAATATTCGTATACTTGACATGCATAGATAAAGAAATAAATGCATATTCATTCATTCTAGACATGCGTATTAACCTGGCAAATAGACGCTTAAATGTATATCTATCAGATATATAGACAGATATGCCTTTATTTCTGCATCTGTATTTGTGAAAGTTCATGGGGTCGGGCCTGGCACAATTTGAACAAACCGGCTGATTGACCCCTCGTTACCTGGTTAGTGCCCGCCTCGCTGATTACTAGCATACGCTCCGGTTCCGATCGGCTGGAAGGGGACGGGGCAGTCTGAAAGAGGAAGAAGTGGATGATTTAACATTTCTGAATACATTTAAGCTAAGAAATGTATACGGGGGAAGCGCGAATGGCTTGTTTTTTTTATGATTTTCATTTATTCGAGTTTCGCAAAATGTATTTTTTTTAGATTGAATTGTTCTTTGGTCTTTTAAGAATGTCAATGATGATGATATATGTTTTGGCATTTTTTTATCTTTTTATATATATATTTTTTAGCGTGGGATAGTCTGCATCATATTTAGACTTAACTATGGAAGCGCCAAACGGTATGACGTAAACAAAACAAAACAAAAAAGACAATGAGTTTCCAAATCATTTAAGGAAAAAATAAAAAAAAAAAATAATGATAGATAAATAAATAAAAACAAAAATAGATATAAATAAAAGCGGTAGATTTGGTCTTTCGTGCTTGCTGAAGGATTTTCAACAATCAAGTATTTGTTTACATAATTATGCAGTCCCAGGATAACATAATTATGACCAGTTCGTGTTTTTTGGGGGGGATATTTTAAAAATAAAAAAGGGTGAATTTGGTCTCTTTTCGTGCTCTCAGGAAGCTCTTCAACCGACAATAAATCTAAAACTTAAGATTCATGTATTTAACGCTATCTGTACGAAATGAATTAACAAATTAGAAGATTGTTGGAAGCTTAAAGTCTGTTATAGTTAAAAGATAATAATAATAAAATAAAAATAATGATTAAGCGACTGGGTGAGCAAGCTACCCCAAGCCAGTGCTGGTCCCAGGCCCGGGTAAGTAGAGAGGGTTGGCGTCAGGGAGGGCTTCCGGTCATAAAAAGTATCTGCCAGAACCAGATTATGCTGTGTAGCGACCCCGTGTAAGAATGGGTCAAAGTTGTAGCAAAAGGAGAATTTATTAAAAAAAATGAAAATGTAATGCAGTGTAAGTTTTTTTCTAATATTAAAGAAGTTAAATTCTTTAAAACAGGGTATGGCTGGAGCAGCAAACGGACCGCGAATTTCATTAAAAAGTTGATTTTAAGAGTGTGTGGACAGGACCTTTTATTTTATTTCCAAATCGTGTTAAATAAAGGTTACTCTTAGGCCTCAACTATAATATCAATATAGTTTCACGAGAGTCGACTAAATCCGCATACAAATACTTGATTTTGATTTTTTCTTGGCAATCTAGCTAACACGGGAATGCATCTAAACCACCTTTCTGATTTTGCTGTATTATGCCCCCCCAAAAAAAAAAAAAAAAAAAAAAAAAAAAACGTGTAGTGTATACTCTTCTTTTATTGTTAATCTTCTATCATTTATTATTTTCTAAAATCTAAAGTTTTATTTCATATAAAGTTTAGTCCGGTACTTTAATTCTTGGTAAATACCTGTAAGAAATGTAGCATCATTCTTTACGGCTATTTTCGACATTAAAAAAGTCGTAACTAAACCAAGACCAATATATTGGTAATTTTAATTCATGAGATAGTTTTTTAAAAAGTCAGTATTCCAGTTATTCATTTTTGTTCTTAGTTCCGCAATGAACAAACCCCGAGCTGAGAATGCTTTCTCTTCCACATTGATTGATCAAAATTCCAAGCTTAAAAAGTTATACGATTATCATGTTTTGTGAGGGAAGTTAGGGTTTTGATACGAATATATCA